TGAGCCATTAGACATTTTTCTTTTGTAATGGAAAACATCAGCAAATACATTGTTTGTTTGCTTTTTAACGAAATGCAAACAACGATGAAATTGATGGAATAACGCCTATTCAATTATTAATTATTATGACAACTGATATTTGTTTCTTTAAAATCACACATCTTATGCGCCTATACTTTAATATTGTGTCTTCACAAATCTGGCACACTGCTGCCACTGACAGTTGCCGAGTGAATTATTCCAACATCGATATGTATGACGCTGAGGTGCAAGCACATGCGAAAGCTGTTTACATGTAAAGCGATGTGGTTCACAAAACAACCGTCAGGCGGTTACTTGAAGCTGTCAAAAGAGTGAGTTTTTAAATTTTCTTGAAAAAAAAAGTAAGAGAAAATCGATTTTCGATAAGTTTTTAAAAGAAATTCGCCATTTAATAAAAATGATCCATCGTTGTTTACGTTAAAAAAAAAGCGAAAAATGGTGTCAGAGGTAAATAGAATAAGAACGATTCCGATAAAAAGCACAAGATTGAAATGTGCAATCTCACGGAGATATTAATGCCATTAAGAAAATAAAATTACAATCAATAAGTGTTTTTCGATCGACCGACACCAGCTTTGTTGTTCCAACACAAAAGTTCGGCAAGCGTGATCTGCAGAGTAAATCTTGTTGTTTTCGATGCGTGTATGTACTGTTAGGCGAATGTAAGCACAAAAGCTTGTACACTAAAAAAAATGTAGCTCAAGACGTGCATTGGATTTTTGACGTGACATTAAAATATTGGCTGAATCATCATCATCGAGCGCACATTGAAGCTAATTCGAATATGAAAGCATGAGGTGAATTTTGAGTAATATAATTTTTCAGCCATGTGACAGAAAATCCATCCACGCAGACTATATGGGAAAATATGAGAAACAACAATAATGGCAGCATCAACCATCAACCACAACCCGAGTATCGAAAAAGTATATGCGTTGCTTGAATGCATCATTTAAGATGGTTTATTCTATGTTTGAATCACAAAAGAAAATCGTTTGTCTAACCTTATTCAGAGGTGCGGTTGGCGTCGCCGTTGTACACATTATTCTTTACGCGAGACATAATCTACCAAATTATGGAGCTAACAATAACAACAAAATGTCTAGCATTATGTGTAATAGAAACGATTTTGTAACAAATCCCATGTAAAATCCCATCCATTTGACAGGTGACAACAAAAACGAATATTAAACAACTCAGTCATAAGCAACTATAAATTGTGTAGTATAGTTTAACATATATTTGAAAATGGCTGTTCCGTAAGTGCCGTTGAATACGATGGCTCTTTTTGGAACTACTGACATATTCTCTACGTTGACTTAAGCAATTATGTACATTGTGCTCTAAGTTGTGACGCTGTCTTGTTGATAATTTCTCAATATCTATACTATAAGTTTCAAATCTGAAAAAAAAATTTCTTTCCATATTAATATAAAAATATAGATGCTATGCTGCCACGGGAATGGCACGCAGTGTAAAATGTTGGCGACACATTTTTTTTCGGATTAAAAATTTTAATTGTTTCAATCTCTATTAATAAAATCACACAAATGTGAGATCGTCAATATAAATGTTATGGTTCAAGGCAAGTATGCCTAGGTGGCATTACAGTTTGGTACGCCGCCGTTCCTCTCATAAACATGTCATTCCCGTGTATGCTGCATTACGATTACACAATGAGTCTACGCTTTGAAACTTGTCTGCCAGAAATGATTGTGTAGTTTCAGTATTAGAAAAATAATTTGTCAACGCAAAAATTGAAAAAGACGAAGATCAACAAAACTTTATCATTAAAATGAGATTTGAATGTAGTTGTTAAACAATAGGAGTTCCACAAAACCACTTCCAACCGAACTTAATATCTCCCGGCAGTCTTATTCTCTCTCTTTTACTTGCTCCGTTATTTAGTCTATAGAATTCGAATTTCATGATTTGTGTGTCGTACGCATTCCATTTTCCGAGTTGTTGTGAACACGCATCAACATTTGCATATATCGAATGTTCGCAGAGCATGCCAAGGCACTTTCAAACGAAAATGCACTTAACTTAATGGAAATGAACTGATGCTTGTAATCCCACGTGGAAACTGGTTCGAAATGCAGAAGTTTGCTCAACACTTTTTAGTTTTCTGCTCAGTTTTCTTCCAAGAAAATTGGTCAAATTATTTGATTTTAGTTTAGCGTGAATAATATATAGAAATGAAAATTCACATGGCATTTGTTAAATTTCGATGAATTTTACTAACAGTGACGAAATGGCATCTCGGTCTGCACTCATGCATGTTACTTTTCTGCAAAGTAATGATATGCGTTCAGTAATAGAGGATAATCAGTAGTGAGGCAAACAATTGGTTTTTTCCATGGTCTAAATGCCAAAGTCTCAAAATTTAGTTTGCAAAACCAAGTTTAAGTTTCATTTGAATTAAATTAGAGTTTCATATGAAGCAATGTTGGAGAGTAAATAATAAAGACGATGATCATATTATGCTCATTTTGAATGCAGGCTTTCAATGCTTTACTAATATCTCTGTTTCCAACTCTCTCCGCTTTTCGGAAAAACTTTTGATCAAAACTTAATGCATATACTTAACTCTTGTCGCCTGATCTAAATGTATGTGTGGGTTTTCATTTGTGTACCTCAGAAAAGTCAGGTAAAAGAGAGATTTAGTGAGGGAGAGATGTGAGATATGACGTATTGGCATGATTCCGACTGGATCTCGTAATCTTCTAATCATTTGAAATCTGTTTTGCTGTATCCATATAATGTCAAAACAAAAGTAAAGCACAAACAAAAACATACGCATATTGATACAGATTGGACAACAACAATATTCCATATCAAGCCAAACACTTCAAAATTCATTTAAATCTGTCTGAATTTTGTGCCACTGAAACTGTTTGCAAACTTCGAAACTTACATGCATATATATACACACACATAGACAACAGATGCTCTTATTTGGTTATGCCATAGTTTTCTCAACCAACATAGCTCGTGTTTGAAGTGTTGACATCCATAAAGTAGCCAAAGCGTTATCATGTAGAAGCACATAGCACACCACAAACATTTTGCATTCTTGCGTTTAAATTTCTTCTTTTTTTCATTCTCAACAATTGGCACATAATCGAAAAGCAACGAATTACACAAGTAGCATCTAATTCTCATTTTGTTTGCTAGCTATATATGGTTACATATTTATCTAAATGTGTTATGCAGCGGTTGGAATTGGTTTTGAAATCATTGCTTACGATTTTATCAGATCATATGGCCGACATAAAATAAATAGAATATGTTTGGCCCCAAAAAACACGCTATACACTTACATAGAAAATTAAATCGATTCAAAGCACATGAGTTGTGTTGCAATGGTGAATTTTGCATCTTTTATGAAGGTATGATTTGCATGAACTTAGCAACTTCCAAGTTATTTTAACTGAATAATTAGATTGGTAGGTGCAACACCACACATACGATATACATTTGTATTCATTGCAATATTTTAATTGGAATTATTCACATTGGTGAATAAACGCTACCAACGCTATAAAATACCGAAAATTATTATGGATGTTACTATGAGAATTAGATTGGAAAAAATCTCATCTTCCATTAACATTTGGTTTTGGAACTAACATCTTAGATAAATTAAAATGGTCAATTCTGTTGAAATTGAGCAAAAATCACATACTTGGTTTGAATATTGTTTGAATATACGAATGGGGAGAACTACTTCTCAATAATTATTCACTATGATCAGATTTTATGTTCTTGCCAAGTACTGCTTGCCTCGTATATATTATCAACATGAATATTACAAAATCGAAATTGTGTCGATGTATTTCTGACAAACGGGCCAGAATAAGAGCACCCAACAATGAATACGACAATGAAGCCATAACTAATTAAATCGGAAAGTTTGTAGGCCAGCCGATTTTCAGTTTGTACAAATCATCTTGTCGACCCCGCATTTATTTTATTTTCTTTTACTCCCTTTTCCATTCGCCGTCCGTTTGCCATCCATTTGATGTAACATCGAATGTAAACTTCTATGCAGTCATTCATTCGCTGTCAGCTCATTGTTCAAGCCATCAACTTGCTTTTGTTTTTATCATTCAAAAACTTTGCTGTTTTGTAACCGCATTACATTTATGTTGACTTCCAGGTGACCTGGGCCCAATTTAATATTGTTCACAAATCTACTGGAACTACTCACTTATTTCTATTGAATCAATAAACATGCTTGCACCAATTTATGTCAGATATTCATTTGCTCGCAAATACATATCAACTGAATGCAGAGTAAAAGAAAACTCATCACATCAAAATTATCCAAGTTTTCCACGTGGAAAAAAAGTATGTGTTCGGCGCTCAATTTTCTGATTAGGTTTCTCACGCTCTCGTTCAGTGAATGATGTTGTTAGACCATGAATTCAAAGCAATACACAAGAGTTCTCGTTTTTTTTTTTCTCTGAAGAGGCTATTTGATTGCCTTCATCTACCGAAATGTAGACATTTCTATGCTTAAATGAATGTCTTTCACTTTCTGTCTTTTACAATTAAAATGAAAGCAATACGACTTTCACTCGGTATCCTCTTCGTGTCGTTCTCTCAATCTGTCGAGACTGTTGTATGCTTTCTTCTTCTTCTTCTTCTCCTTCTGGAATTGAACGTTGTGCACAAGTACAAAATTCTATTTGCTCTCGATTGTAAATGGGGCAAATTGAAGTTTTGATGGTAAAACATGCGGAATGAACATATTCAATTCACCGAAACAAGCTAACAAGAAAGAGCACGATTGCCATATGGTCATCATTGAAAAAGGTCTTACAATATCTATAAGTATAGAGAAACAAACCAAAAGGAAGGGGCAGGGGAGAACATAACAATTCCAAAGAAATCAAAAGAGCAAATCTTTTCATTTCCAAGCCAATATTATTATTTTTTATAATTTAAGTTACCTCGAATGTTGTGAATACAATCTTTTCGATGGATCCAAAGTAGCGTTCCCATAACATTTGCGTTTGTTGTCGTAGCGCCAAAATTTTTGTCGCTGATATTGATCGTACTATTTCGGGAACCTATTTTTTTGTATAAATGAATGTCATTACTTTTAATTGAAATTTATTTGAGCGAACAAAACTAAAATGCTGTGCGAATGAACTTAAAAGAGAGCGGCGAAAAAAAAACAAACGAGATTTTTTTGAAGAGTAAGATTGTAACTTACTTGTAACAAAAGTCGTTCATCAGCCCAAATGGCAGCCATTTTCCAATCGATTTTTGATTCAAATGGAAGTGCCCAGGAATTCGACAGCAATATCGGTATACATCCGGCTTGAAGTGCCTCAAGGAACCTATAAATTAAAACAAAAAGTTAAAACTCCTTAATAAAAATGATTATATCTTTCATTGAACCGTGAAGTTTTACATTTTCACATTTTCATACTCATTTTCAGTTGTTCACGTTGTGTTGGTCCCCTTTTTTTTGCAAAATTGTTTCGGAAATTGGAAATTTGTTGCAAAAGTTCTTTCACACAAAAAGAGAGCAAAAGACGAAGATCCCAATTCATAGTACAAGAAAATGTGGCAGAAATGTTTAAAAAGGCGCTTAAATTACCATCGAAATAAATGACGAAATGTGTGTGTAACAAATTTTTATTGTTATCGTCATAGCAGCATGCGGACAACGTGGCACACACCATCGTTTTACTCACTAGTAACGATGAACAGTTGTGTAACACACTATAACTAAAACCTCTCAATACTCTTATCCATTGGTATCAATATTGTGTGCTGTTCACTGTTAATTGAGAGTCTGTTCATGAAATCTGATGTATTATTTGCTTGTGTTTGTGTGTGCATATCAAACATAAACAAGGGAATAATAATTGCAAACGAAGGGAAAAAATGCACAGCTATGAATCAAATGTGGTTTGACAGAGAAGAAAAAGAAACAAGGCGAAGAAGAAAGACGCATACTAGTATATGTGAAGCGAATGTCAGAAAGAACTAAGAATGAGATGACCAGTATTCCGTAGAATTGCAGTGACATCAATTTGATAAAATGACAATGACAGTGTCAAAGCGATGACATAATCATAATTACACGAGGGAAAAATATAACTACAGAGATCGAGCAGGAGAAAGAGAGGAAGAAATCACGGCAAAACTAGATAAACCGCCACAACACTTATTGTACAGTTGCCAAGGAAAAAAATATACCAGTCGAACGCGACGATAAAATAGAGCGTTTTTTGTGAATGAGAGAAAAAAACGCACACGGTACAATGACAGATAAGAACTGATGTCGCAAATGCTGTTCAGGGAAAGCTTAACATGTTTAACTGTGCTGTGTGTCTTGTCTTTACGTTCACTTCGTAAATATTTCCCCAGTGTCATCTTTACTCAGCTTTTGTTCGCTCCCACTGTGTGTTTATATGCATGCTTTTCAGATGCATTTTTGATTTTTGGTTCGTGCCATTCAAAAGGAGGTAGATGTTTTTGTTATCATCACCGAATGTTTGATATTTGGTTCCTGCTTTAAATTTGTTTTAATTAAATTCCATGTGCAGGCACCAAACGAAATGTATTTATGTTTTTATCTCTCAGCCTCTCGCTTTCAGTCTCTCGTTTTAACAAAATACATATTGAATGTCCGACAATATTAATGTCACTTGCATATTTCGATGTTCTTTATATTAAAACATTGTGTTCGTGATTTTTTAGTATGCAGCGCAGGAAAAACAAAATAGAATGACAACAAAATCGAGGAAAAGAAATTCTTGGCGAAAATTATCGTGTTCGTGGCCATAAAAAGTGAACCGTTGTTAAGCATCAAAAAAAGCCACACTAAATCTCATTTAATTTTTAGGAATGTATTCTTGATATAAAAAAAATATATACACAATAGAAGAAATTTAGAAACTTTGCTCTTCTTGAGAAACTAATTTCGTTCTCAACGAGAACAATGAAAATAATGACAAAGAGCGAGAAGCAGAGAAATTGCGAGGCTTTGCTCAAGTTTCCATTTTTGCCAATGCTTTTATTAATAAGTCTTTATCAAAGTATTTTTCGACATATTATCCTCGGCTTAATGTTATCTATTATGATGCATTATTAAATGGTTTCAAGAGAACTTTTTCGTTGACGCGAAAATATATTTTAAATATGAAAGCCAGATTCCATGCCACCGAACCGCCACCATCATCATCATATCCATGTGCTTATAAGTACATAAATATCGGAGTGTGTCCTATGGCTGCTTTTAATAGACGATTGAAAAAACTGAATTGACCGGTAATAATGTAAATTGACTTGACGAAGTAATGAAAACATCATTTCAACGTAGAAAAATTGAACCGAAAAACAATCAGTAATGTTAAAGAATGAAATTGTATACCTGAATGAACCCAAACGTCGTCCGCGAGGCACCAAGCAAAACGTTGAATTCAATAGCAACGTTTCATAATCGTATCTGCAAAAAAGAATAATAAAAAACAGGTAAATATTATTATTATGTTAGAAGAAAAACGGTACTACAGCTAAATATGTTGTTCTTATACAAAAAAAAATGTTCGCGTTTTTTTCTTTGTGATGGTTTTCGTTGTAGTTCATGGTTTGTAAACGCTTCAATTAATAATGAATCATTACATTTTCTGTATTAATTTTAATGTCTAATAAAGGAATTTTCAGCCTTTTACATTTTTGGAAAGAGAAAAGGGCGAGAAAAAACGTAGCAAGTGGAATTTTTATTAAACGATATAATATTCCGTCGTGAAAGAGTAATGTGGATAAATAATATGTAATGAGTAATCGGTTTCCGGGGATTCGGTAGATTCGAACATATCTTTTTGTCTGCGTTTGAAATCAAAAGCACATTTTCTTGTCCATGATGGTTTTCCACATGATAGCACAAAAAATCGAGGCTAATTTTTCTGTTGTTAACAGTGAGTAAAATTATGCTGCGGCAATTTCGGTTCTGTAACAATGCAAAAAGTTAACTCGATCGGATTTTCTCTTGCATTTTGTGCGCGTCTGCATCTTATGGTCAAACAAGTGAGAAGGGTTTCAAGGCTTTCGAAAACGCTTTAAATGGTTTTCGCAACGGTTTTAATATTTTAACCGTCCGTAGCACACGCTCTAATAGCAAAATTACATCGTGTATTCATTTTGGTCGATGTCATTGATGAGCGAAACAGCGAAACACGATGGGGATGAAAACGAAGTAAAAAAACGAACTGGCATTCGTGTACACAATCTTCTGTGACAGAGAAACAGAGAGAGAGCACTGGTTTGGTTTCGATGTACAAAGTGGTTCATGCAAGACATGAGAAAATTAAGTACTGAATGTTACGTTGTAAGTATGTCGACTGCGAATCGACGTAAATACAAGCATCCTGTGAAAATCGTTGTGCTGTTATCGTTTTTCTTGTTGGCTACTCTCTCTGCTTGCTGGTTTTTTTCTTCTTTTGCCGTTGTCTCATATCCCATTGTTACTACTCATTTCTGTGCATCTGCTTTCGTTCGGATCCGTTTAATTCTCGCTTATTTTGCATTTCATTTGCATTTTTGACCCTTGAAATCTTCCATCCCTGCTTATATGCGATATCGGTGTTTATGGTTTCGAAGTTTTTCTTTTTGCTTCTTCCTCATCATGTATCACGTTCTTTTTTGTTTGGGGGGAGGGCGGTTGGCGCTTTTACTTGGTCAAAAGTAGAAAAATGAATGTAAACGTGTGTGTAATAAGAGGCGATTCGATCATCCTGTGCAACTTTTGTAAGAACAAAAATGGTATACGGTCGATGGACACACATGCATGTGTAACTGGATACCCGCTAGAGAACATCTCGAAATGGATGAAAGCTGCTTTTTCAGCAGATATGTAAATTATGCCACCAATTTTCACGTAAACGAAGCAAATGTGTGACAACCACAGCATCGGATTGCTTAATACTCATCTCTTTCACTCTCTGTATAACCCAACCGGCTAAGCCTATGAAGAGACAAAATGCGAATTCCCCTCATCTGTGCCATCTTGTATTCCATAGTTGAACTCAATTTAGTTACAATGAATTGAATCGAAAAAGAGAAAAAAAACAACAACAGTAACATGGCTACATAGATCTGTTGACCAGTGAGATACGTATAGCAATGGAATGAAAGAATGAAGAAAGCGTATATGTGTATGTATGCATCAGCACGCATAGATGTACAGCTCTGTGTGGCCGTGCTATAGTTGTTGTTTTTTCACTTTTTCATTTCAATGCTACAGAATTAAATTCAGTTTTTGCATCTAATTCACACTAAAATCAGATGGCGCTCATTAGCGAGATTCGCAAAAAAAAGTCTCCAATCTCATACAAATATACACCGGCTGGTATAACCATACCCACAAACACGCACCATATCTTTCACTAGTGTGCTTTTTACAAACGATGCTGTTTCACTTCTCGACATAACAGTTTAATTACCGTTCTACTAGCAAAATTCATGCAAATACCATTTTTATACGCATAAATATATGGCATTGCTGCCACTGCTACCGCTGTTATGTTTAGTTTATTTGCCGACACCGACTTTGTGTTTATTTTAAAATAGTTTCTCTCTGTGTGTCTATTTTATTCGCTATTTTATTGGTGTAATGTTGGCGGTTGGCGTCCGAGTTTGTTGTCTCATCATGTTTTTAATGCATTTTCTATCTTCATTTCGCTCTCATTCTCTCATATAACAGTCCGGAAAATTTATAAATCATAAATCTTCGGATGTTCTCACTTCGTAAAAAGCGACGGATAAATAGCAATAGGGAAAAAATGAGAAATATCGTGAGAACGGTAAGTAGAAACCGATTCAATAAAACCGGAAATGAAAAGAATAAAAACCGAGCAGCTGCACAATGAGGTCATAACGCATTGAAATAGCGAGAGCAACAGCTAATAGTGTGCCCAAAAATGTTAATCTAATAAATGAATAAAACTGTGGTACACACCATTTGCAATCATGTTATTGATAAACACGAAATTCATCATCATCACCAGCATTGATACAATACCATTTACCGGTGATATGTTTGAAAATGAGGTTTTCGATTATTTCAATTTTTAAATTGTAAGCGACAAATAAAATGATCAATGTAATTGATGTCATTTAAAGTTTCAATGGAAATATCAATATAATTTTTACGATTCACGTACCGAAATTATGCCAAAACTGACAAAACACCAGCGCCACGACGGAATTCAGTGTAATCTATACGAAGTTGCCGGCAACTAGTCAGGAAATGTTTGCTCAATTGCAAACAACTGATTAGAACTTCATAGTCGTCCGTAGTGGCGCCAGCTGCGCTACAGTTTTACATTTTATACAGTGTTGTATATTCATTATAAAAATGCTACAATTAAATCTTTCTTCAATACGTGCAGAAGTAGTACACATGCATCGTATACATTTACAAAATGAATCAGTGGGTACATAAACAAATAAAACAACGTTTGCACTTAATACAATTTAACCAATCAAAAATAAATAAATGAATTAAAAAAAACGATGCAAACACTTTTTCTCTTTATTTCTGTGCCTTGCTACGGTTCTGAAAAAAACCCACCCAAATCGAAACACGATCAACGTAAAAGAAAAATACATATGAGATAAGGAGGGCGAGAGAAGAAGGGGGTTGACAAAAAGTGTCGAAGGAAAAAAAAACATGCACGGAATTCAATGGATGCATACTAAAAAAGTTAAAGGAATAAAAATTGTATTCAGCAGTTTACATGACCGTTTTTATCCGGTGTTACACCGGCTGTGTATGCATGCGGAAGTACAAACACACAGACATACATTCGGTATCGGTATTCGCTCAATTGGGTGATGTAATCCGAAAAGGATTTTTTTTTGCTCGGATTTTATCCGCTTTTTAATTTACACCGTAGGTAAACAAGATTGGCATTATTGGTTTACTACTATAAACGAACGAAAATATGTGTGCACACATATTTGGCATGTGAATATGCAGTGAAGGTAGAATATGGGATCGTTTGCATGACATCAACCTATGGCTTTCTATCGTGAATTTTGATCGCTCCATTCTCTAATTAAAAAATCGGATTACGAAAATTATAACAGCCAAATGCACTTGAACCGATTTCTGTTTACATGACAGATCATGTGTTAATTTAACAGACAAATATATCGTACAGAAGCTCATTAACAAATTGCATAAAGCACATCCGACATTTCGACAATTCAAATTGATAACGTTTGCCAGCGACTGAGTGTGTTTGACCGTCTGTCACCGAAAGAAGAACGGACAAAAGCGCTCATACATTAAGCATGAGAAAAACTCCTGATTCTGAACCACAACTAAAACAAAAATATGTGTTGAAAAAAGCTTTCCCAATATTATTTTTTAGTGATAATTAAAATGTTTCGTTTTAATTTTCGGTCAATCGGCTTTTTTTGTCTTAATCCTTTTCATTCAAATGGAATAGAGGCAAACATGGCATTTTGTTGCGCTAAAATGCAAATACCGTTCGAAATATTTATTGTACACTTTTGGTTTGTATAATGTGTATATTTGTACGTTTTTTTTTCTCCACCATCGTTGTGTGCATTCAGCATATTATCGCTGCAGCCGCAATAATTTTCATTAATCCAACAGTGGAATTATATTGCACTCTCGAATCCACGAATAATTATAAAGTCACTTGCAGGAAATGAGAGAAATAAACCAAGTCAAACGAAGTAATGTTGTTGTTGTTATTATTGTGCACAGGCATATATCTCTTGGCACTGTTTTTATTTTTCCGTCTCTCTTTCACCGCTATTCGTCTTCAAGAAAAGAGCAACACGAAAAGAACAACTAAATGAAGAGAGAGAAAAAAAAACAGCACAACATTAATGCTAATGAAGGAGCAGACATGAATTTCTCGTGGTGTGAACAGCGACTGCAAGCAATGAGCAAAAACACAGAAATTGAAGAGAGAAGAAGAAAAAAAAAGTGAATTTATAAATTGTTTGCTTTTCCTATGTCTATGTTGATTTTTATTATTATTTCATTTGAGATGTTTGCAACAATTTTCTTCTGTGGAGCTTCTCGGACCATTTCACATACATAACATTTCACAAGATGGTTAAGACATTGCTGTGCCAACGTATTAACATTATTTTTGTTTTTTTTTTTTTTTTTTTCTTCTCCAAATGCAGCACGCTCACATGTTCAGAACAAAAGTGAAGAAAATTCAGTCATTCTCCTTGAATTCCCTTGAAATGAAAATGGAAATACCATTATATGAATTATTTTATCAAATTCCATGAAAAAACAAATCTTAGCGAAATAGAGGAAAAGTGCAAAATAAAACAGCAGAAACTAGTGTTAAGGCGCAATGTCAAGATATTTCGCAGCAAGGTATAATGAGAAGGAAAGAGTCGGGGGCGTTTTAAACGTCTGAGTACTTGAAACTTATTAACTTAAATTAACAA